CACCATCACCATCATCACCATCACCATCACCATCACCACCATCACCATCACCATCACCATCATCACCACCATCACCATCACCATCATCACCATCATCACCATCACCACCATCAACCTCCATCTTCATCACCATCATCACCATCATCATCATCACCATCACCATCACCACCATCACCATCACCACCACCATCACCACCGCCTCCATCTTCATCCACAGCCGCCCCGTCTCCCCCATCCCAGCCCCCCCCATCGCACGCAAAACACTCGGCACCGGGCCGGCCCCCAGCGAGCCAACGCCCATCTCCCTCCCCTGACATCGAATCATGATGGATGGGCCGCCTCCTGTCGCCCCTCCGCGACTCTCGTGGTGAAAATGTGGGCCCCGTTCATCAACAACAAAGGCGTCCGAAGCATGTCGGACGCGGAGAGGCCCGAGGGATGATTCCATTCTGCAGCGAACAAGGCAGGACCAGCGCGGACGCTGGCATTGCTCTCCTGGGACCTGCCATATCGGCATTCCGCGGGCAGCCGCCTCGTCCCGGATGGAAAGGAAGAAAAATCTGCAGCTTTGAGCAACCTCATCCCATACCACGGCTAGACCTTTGTCCCCCAAATGTCAGAGGCAGCCAGGCCGGCTTACCGTGTTTCCCCGAAAATCAGACATCCTCCGAAAACAAAGACTTCACGTGCAGGCTTCCTTCTGAGGGACATAGAAGGCGTCCCCCCGAAAATAAGGCCTCCCCCCGAGGCTAACCCTGAGAGACTTGGCCCACTGATTCTGAGAGAAACGGAGTCACAGGAAATTCACCGGGAAATGCAGGAACGGGATGGTGAGGATGATGTTCCAGAACTGGATTGTTATGATGACATGATTGTCATGAAATCAATGAGTCCATTCTTGATCCTGTAGGATTCACAGTGTGTCTGGTTTGTGTTGACAACGACCATACTACCGTACACAGGTAATCAATTTCCTTTATTTTATTCTATTATTATTTTTTGATATATTTTATTGATTTTTTTTTAGAGAGAGGACAGAGAGCTAGAAACATCGATGATGAGAGAGAAACATCGATCGGCTGCCTCCTGCACGCCCCCCACTGGGGATGTGCCCGCCACCAAGGTCCATGCCCTTGACCGGGAATCGAACCCGGGACTTTTCAGTCCGCAGGCCGACGCTCTATCCGCTGAGTCACACCGGTTTCGGCAAATTTCCTTTATGTTCATTTAACAATAAATGTGCACCGTATTCTTCTTCATGGGAAAATGAGACACATCCCCTGAACATAAGACCTAGCGCCTCTTTGGGAGCAAAACATGAACAGAAGACGCTGGCTTATTTTCGGGGACGCAGGGTAGAAACGCCAGCATCATGGAGAGAAACCTTGCCAACATCAGGAAATATCAGGCCTGCTCCCTGAGCAGAATTAACAAGCAAAACAGAGACAGCCTCGTCAGGCCAGCATGGCGGCTCAGAGGTTGAGCATCGATCTAGGAACCAGGAGGTCACGGGTTCGATTCCCGGTCCAGGGCACAGGCCCGGGTTGTGGGGTTCCATCCCCAGGAGGGGGGCGTGCAGGAGGCAGCCGATCTTTGATTCTCTCTCATCATGGATGTTTCTATCTCTCTCTTCCTCTCTCCTTTCCTTCCTGATTTCAATAAAAACATATATATATATATATATATATTTTTTTTTTTTTTTAAAGAGAGAGATGACGTATTCACCCATTCCCCACAACCAAATATTCTCCTGCCAAAACCTGTTTGGCTCAGTGGATAGAGCGTCGGCCTGCGGACTGAAAGGTCCCGGGTTCGATTCCGGTCAAGGGCATGGACCTTGGTTGCGGGCACATCCCCGGCAGGGGGTGTGCAGGAGGCAGCTGATCGATGTTTCTCTCTCATCGACGTTTCTAGCTCTCTATCTCCCTCCCTTCCTCTCTGTACAAAATCAATAAAATATATTTTAAAAACAATTTAAAAAAAGAAAATAAAAATAAAGGAAATGTATTACCTGCAGAATGTACGGCAGGACGGTCCTTGTCCACACAATCCAGACACACTGTGAATCCTACCGTATCAAGAATGTACTCATTGATTCCATGACCATCGTGTCCTCGACCTCTTCTGGAACCTCATCCTCACCATCCCATTCCTGGATTTCCCGGTGAATGTCTTGTGACTCCGTTTCTCTCAGAATCAGTGGACCAAGTCTCTCATGGTTAGCCTAGGAGTGGGGGCTTATTTTCGGGGGGACGCCTTCTATTTCACTCAGAAGGAAACCTGTACATAGGATTTATTTTCGGAGGATGTCATATTTTCGGGGAAACACGGTATTTGTTTGGCCATTCGGTCACTTAGGCTTTTATATATATAGTTTTGTGTGTGTGTGTGTGTGTGTGTGTGTGTATAAATTGGGTGGGAACGCATAGAATTCAGCCAGAGGGAGGAAAAGACACAGCCACATCGTACGTTCACACGGGGGGACGGGGGGGACAAGAAC